GTTTGAAATGTCCTTCAACAAATTACCTTTGACTAGCTTCTGATCAGACGTAGTAATTGGTCGCTTTTAAGGACAAGCGGGCTAACCCAGATTTTGGGGTTTTTTCAGAAATCTTGACCTACACCGAAAGTGGGCATTGCCCTACCTATAGGAGAAGTTTGGTTTCATTTGTGTGTATATTTGTTTGGTTGTAAAGAAAAAAAAACTCTCCTTGTCTTTTAAAGAAACTGAACAAGGGGCAAAAACTGTACCTTCGATTTTCTCAAAACAGCATCTTTCAGAATAGCCCCCTTGTGCTTAAAAGCCACCAATTATGCTTCCGCTCCGGATGCGACAAGTTGAGAAGACACGCTGTGTTGAACCAGAACCTACTTATTCATACAGGGAGTTTTAATTCGGCTTTCGTTATCTGGACCTTGAAAAAGTGAACAAGGACAACATAATATAGTCATACTGTGAAGTGCACGAATTGGTGCTTTGGATAGTACTATATTTTGTGTGTGCGTGCGGTTTGAAATGTGCCTCAACACAATAGTATTAGCTTTGACTAACTTTTGATGGGACGTAATAATTTTGTTATTCGTCCTCTCCGTGTGTCAAGAGTTGTCTCGTGTGTTTGGTGGACAGCTAGTAGGGGCCCGGCGCTGGAGTCAGTGAGTGAGTGAGTGAGTGAGTGAGTGAGTGAGTGGGTGAGTGAGTGAGTCGGTGAGTGGGTGAGTGAGTGGGTGACCTGTGTCCAGTATTACCTGTGACCTCCACCACCACCACCACCACCACCACCACTACCACCACCACCACCACCACCACCAGCACCGAGATGCCCCGATTACGCCGACGGTTCCGCGTGAAGCTGAAGCGCTTGTAAGTGGCTGTGGGTGGCACTGCCGGGCATAGTCATAGTAGTAGTCACAGTACAGGTTGTGAGTGGGTGGTTGGTGGGCGCTCTGGTGTGGTTTGCTCCTTCTTCCCTATCTATCGCCTATCATCCTTATCTACTTTCCTTCTTTTTATGTTTGTTACTCGTTTGTAACACCTTTAATCTTCTGGCGCTCATATGACCTTATGCAGTTGCGAGCGCCGTAAAACCTCTGCTAAAACAAACAAACAGGTTGTGATGTCTAGGTCTAGGTACACATGAAAAATGGTGAAATGGTTAAGGTTTAACGACCCTATCAACACTATTAGGTCGTTTAAGAGGCGGGACCTCCGAGTTTAACGTCCATCTCCAAAAGGACCGAGCCATGTGGATACAAAATGGTGAAATGGTAAACTCACTGACTACGGATCCCGTCACGGGTACGGGGCGGGCGGTCGGTTCGCAGGTACGGATCCCGTACCCCCGACGGGATGGACTTTGCGGTTTTGTTCCGTATCTAGTGCTCCTGTCACATGGACGGGAACAGACTCCAGTGCTAGTTTTGCCTCTTGTTTCGCTTCGTGCGGAGTTTGGCGGACGTTTCGTGGTAACTTTTTAAGCAATTGAAGGTGAAGGACAGTCACCTCATCTGGGGTTGACCTGACCGGAACTCGCGCTATGTTTTTTCTATACAAATGATAGTAATCCGACAGTCGCGTCGAAGTAAAGGTCACATGAACAAGAATCACATAATTTCGCTGTTTTCGATACTTCTGTACGTTTTGCTAGTTCTAGTGACTCAAGATATGGTGTGTCTGATAGTTAGGATCCTGGATATGTACCCGAACACGGCCCGAGTCGCCGAGTCGTAGTTTTAGGGCTAGATCTAGCACTAGTACTGTTGTTATTGTTGTTCGCGTGACGAAATCACAACTTCGCTCCCTCCATCTGTCTCATGTAATTCAGTGTATGGGTCTGAATAAACGCACAGACCAGCTTTTATATTTTCACCAAACACTCACACATGGATACAAATCAAAACAGAACACTTTGAACTTGTATTTTTGTTGTTTTTGTGAATTTCATTATATCTGTCATGTCTCTGGAAATTTTTCGAAAAATCAAATTCATTCCAATTTTGAAACAATCATAAGAATTAAAGTATTAGACATAGAGAACTTAAATTTTTTGCAATAGATTAAGTTTGAAAGTAACTTTACTGTGTCAAAAAATATTTACAATAGGGTAATTCTGAGAATTGTGGTGGTGTTTTGAAATACCCCTCCAAAATGCCAGTACTCAGCGCTAGTGATTTGTGAAAGGGGCCAGTAGTCAGTTGCCCCTATCAACACTATTAGGTTATTTAAAAGGCGGGGCCCCGGAGTTTAACGTCCGTCTCCGAAAGGACCGAGCCGAGTTGGAAATTCGTGGAAAGTGCCTTTCCCCAAGGACACAACGTCCGACGACCGAGCTGAGACTGGAACCCCCGAACTTCCAATCTCACGATGACGAGTCCGGTAGCCTACCCACTAGGCCACCTGCGCCACCTCTGTCGACGTGGACTGGCAGTATACTGGTTATTGTGTATGTAGGGTGCTGGTTTAGTTGACAGTCTACCGCGCTGTTTCTAGCCTAGCCAAATATTAATAATAATAATAATAATAA